TCCGAAAAACGATGAAAACAAACCCAAAAAAAGACTGCATGGGTTGAAAAATTATTCAGTAGTGGTTTTTCACTTTGCTGCTGAACGTAAGTGATCCGATCCCTATCTTATGTATTCCTGCCTAACTTACAGATGGTTGTCGACGTCTCAAGTTTCTGGAGCCAATAAATGGATATACACTGATAGGCCACGTCATTAAAAACATTTCATTACCAGTCGGAATGCATATGTATAGTCACTGCGGAAACTGGTGTACTATGGAAGACAGATGTACATCGATCAACATGGTACCAAGAAAAAAAGATAAAATGATATGCCAGCTGAGTGACTCGGATCAATTACAACACCCAAATGATCTGAAACCGACGGCAGGTTTAATTTATAGAGGAGCGGAGGTAAGAATTGTTTGCTGTTCGTCAGCCTTGATTACCTTTCAAGAGATTAAGCCCTCTGCGAGTCCTCACCGAATCAGATCAGGAGAATTCATAACAAAACTTTTCAAATTGGAGCCTGAGAGCATTGCAATCGAACCAATAATAAAAAAGATCGCCTTGGGTGCCCTGTAGGATTCATCAGCATAGATCGCTATCAACAACTACAGGCGTGTAATGAATCACCTGATCATCATGCGCTGTTAGTTCAAGGTGGCTCAGCAATTATAGATATTCTGAAATAATCAGCGTGAAAAATTAAAGAACCCTTAGCTCTATATTATTTTCCACCAGAATAAGTGCTACTTCAACAAGTGCTACAACAAGGCAACTTGCCTGGTTGGATTTACGGACAAGGGATATAAGTGTATATGTCCACCTGGATACACAGGAGAACATTGCGAAATAGGTAAGGTTAGGGTGCGATTGCGCTGTCATAATTATGTTTACTAATGCATGCATGCACCTCTATTGTTTCCGTTTTGGTCTCGTCTCGTATGCTTCTAAACGCCGTCTAATGACTTGTGAGTCATCTTAAACACATTGTGTCCTTTTAGTTTTAGTTTTCTTTTCCAAGTTGAATTTGGAGTCTCTTTTATTGTCATAAAATTGCTCACGAGCCGTTTCAAACCTTCCTATTTTGTTCTTCTTTGGTCTGCACTCGTTCAGGGTAACTGTTTCCCTCTCGAAGACCTTCTGGCAGCGCTCAAAACCGTCCACACACTTAAACTGCGGTTGCAAGGAAAGGTTTTAATGGCCACGGGAAAAAACTGTACCGGTAACAGTGAAATCCCAGTATCCATCTAGATTTTTCCAGGCATCCAATTCAGCAGATTCACAGTCATATTTTATTTTTTGGTACATGTCTAAACGTGACGAGTGCGCGAGTGTACCAATAGTGTCAACTATTTTCACAGTCTTTTTGTGTGTTTACTATTACCGATGGTGCAGTGGCTGCAGATGTTAAAAGAGGAGGAAAGACCGCAGGAAAACGCGAAATTACATTTAATTTTTATTAACAAGCAACACAGGAGGCTCAAGCGTAACTTGTGCAATTTTGGGGTTATAGGAATATCTTATGTATACGCTGGATATGAACGGGAGCCTCATTGTCTGTTCATTCACTCTTTGTTTCACTGAGTCGATATTCCTTGAGTACTGAACGATTGTGGGATAAGTTTAGATTGAATTTAAGTCGTTCGCGTGTGCCGTAAATAAAATGAAATAAAATAAGATAAACAATAATGTTAACAAACGCACCATAGCCGCCTTATCTCTTCAGGTTAATTTCAACATTATTTTATCAAATTTGTTCGTACCGGGTATTGTGCATTATAAAAATTGGGAAGGCGGGTCAGCTGAACCAATCCCGGGCACCAACCGCGGTCAATCCAAAACCAATAAATTCCACATCAGTCGTCTGATCTCCTTCAAATTCAACGAGTGCAAGAAATACCGTTAGAGGTGTTTTTCTGGTGACATTACTAATACCTTAAATGCTGTATTACAGATGTCGATGAATGCCAAAATGGTATCCATGAGTGCATCAAGGATGTGGCAACATGTGTAAATCAACTTGGATCCTACTATTGTATTTGTAATCATGGATACACGGGGAACGGAAAAACAAGTTGCATACCTGAAGGTGAGTTATTTTTTATCACTTACGAGATAAATATGAGGAAGATAATTATCGAAAAAGTTTGATTCATAAAATCAATATTTCTTCCAATGACTGCATCTCCTCTTTTAGCCTCTTGTTTTTATTCAGTTCTTTCACGTGCTAAAGTAAAAAAAATAACCAAATTTGAGCTGACTTAATTAAAGCACTGGAGCATGCGCAGTTTTGGATTGAGAGTCGTAAAGCCAAAACCAAAGTAATCAAAACCACTGACGACAGCCAATCAAAAGAAAGGAAAATACGCATAAGAGCTAATGAGAACTCAAAGTAAAAACAACCAAATTGCCTGAAGCGAGGGTGACCAAGTTTCAGTTGGTTTTAGTTTTTTTCTCTGATTGATTGAGAGTGTTGCGAGTTGTCTAAATCAAGTACTTGGAATTTTAGAGGTACTGTCTGTTCATGAATATCTTCTTACGAGTATGTACTGTTCTTCAGCCTCCCACAATACTCTGCTACCAGTCCTTAGTCGCTTTAACTTATCTTTTAGCTCGCAGCACGCATAACGAAGCCCCAAACTTATCAAAAATGGTAACAACAATAACAGCGGAGTTCGCACCGTGTCTCACTCGCTCAAATTATAAGAGACGGTTAGTCTCACAAAACATGCGGCATCCTAGGATTATGATGAACTTGCTTATGATACGATCGTTTTGCTGCTTGTGCAGGAAACTGAATAATCAGTCTCTGTAATTGAAAGTCATAGCAGTTTGTAAGCGTCAGGTGTGTCTTCGTGTTTTGCGTTGTGTCCACAAACACGCAGGTAGCGTATCGATTGTACCAATCAAATTGTCCCACTGGGGGACACATAGCGCCAATCAGCTGCATTGGTGTATGTATCCTACATTGATCAAACGATTATAATTATGAACCTTCCCAAAAAGGCTGTTTGGTCTCATTGTTCAAAGGTTAACACATACGTTGTGAGGAGAGACATTAGCAGACAGACAGAGAGACAAAGAGGATAACACATAGACAAAGAAACAGGCAGTGCTTACACAGTCAATGAACCATGATGACGTGATAATGATGATAATGATGATGAAATGACCATAACCACGACTGCAACCATGACAGCAATAATGACGAAGATGATGATTATGGTGTTGATGAAGATAAATAAGGATCTTATTCTATGGTGAAAATGGTAGTAATACTTATGGTAGTGCCAATAATAATTATGATTGATCAGAACTGGATTTATCCTAAGTCGTTTTGAAAATTTTAGAATGTCCAAGTTTTGCAGCAAAAGACAGTTTTAGGCAAATTTCTAGTAAACTGATTTCCGTTCAATTACACGCTTGCGTAGCTTATACGACAATTGATGGAGAACTTTATCATGGTTTTGTTTATTTAGTCGATTTTACCAAATTTTTAACATGAGACAAATTTTTTTGGCACTACATTTGAAGATTTGTCTGCTTTGGTCAAAATTTGTCACGTCGGGACAAACCATCTGCACTTGTAAAATGTTGGCGATGACAAAACATTTGTCTAAATAAACAACTTTGTCACCAGTGTGGAAAGGCCCTGACACAGACTCAAAAGAGCAGACAAAGCAAACAGATGATTATTATTCCTCCAAACACAGCAGAGGTGATGGCACAACCCATAAAAGCAGCAGCCTGAAGAAATCAAAACACAAAAGAAATCAAGTAACAATCCTCTAATCGATACTTTTTTCAAATTCTCATCATTTGTCTGCTTGATATTGTACTGATAGTGAAAGGAGAAATTGCATTTTAATCACTAATGGAAGTTAGGGGGTTAAGTCCCAGAAGTGATATAACTGGTAACTTCTCCCCATAGTATCCCTAAGGAAACATTATCTAGCAGAGGTAATGATAATACTCAAACTTATCAGGCAGAAGTTGTTATCTTGATTAAACACCAAATTCTCCTAATTAATTTAAAAGGAAATGTGTAGCAGCTAGAGGGGAGAACTATAAATGAGAGCTTGAACCTTAAAGGGTTAAAAACCATGGAGAATTACAACATTTTAATAATTAGATCTAGTAAAAATTCTAACTCTCAATATCATTTTCAAATTCATTAAAGACCCAGTTTTTACCAGTATGCATTGCGCACGACATTCGCTATTGGTGGCCATTAACTTGATGGTGAGTATTTCATGAGCTTTGGTAAAACAATACATGCTTTGCTCTTGTAGAAACCTTTACAAAATCAGAGCCGCCCAATGCATAACGGATAATATTGGATCACAAAGAAGAAATGGTTGTTATAGTCAAAGTAACAGAGTAATAAGGATAGACATACCATAAAGTGTTAATATTAAAATATAATATCACTTTCAAATTCATTAAAGACCCAGTTTTTACCAGTATTTATTGCGCACTACATTCGCCGTTTAATAAAGGTGACCGCTTAATGGAAGAGAAAATTACAGTAATTAAGGGAAAAAATTTCGGGACTTTGATAACCGCCGCCTAATACGGTTATATGCTAGTATCCAGCTGTACACTTACACTCAGTCAATAACGCATTTACATTGAATGTAGTGACAAACTAAAGCTTCAATGATGGTTTCTATTCCTGCGGGCCAATTATGCAATTAAACAAGGAAACGCTAAAACTACTTTGACTTCATGCGAACTTGTTTTGTTTTTACCATTGTTTTCTGTAAAGAGCCAAAACAAGAGACTCCTTACTGAACATTTCTATGCACAAATGACGTTGGAGGAGCTTCATAAAAATCCGCTTCAGGATTAATAATTAATCACAATAAGAGATAAAATTTCTCTGTTTTGCTCCTTGCGAGAGATAGGCATCTTATGGGTGATACAGTTTCCGCACTCTTTTGACAGTCTCTATAAAAAGTGAATTACCGTCAAAAGAAGGCTGAGAACTTCCTCTCTGACAAAACTCTGAAGATGAAGCGCTGCGGCCGCATGTTTTCTCTCCTATATCGGTTTTTTTTGTTCGGAGGCTGGTTTTACAGCTTAACAGCTGCAAACCATGGTGAGTTAACTTTAACATTCTTTTTCGCGTGTTATAAGAGAGTTTTTATAGATTCTCTAAGGCATGGCTGCTTTTCTATGTCTGGTAGATGCGTTGGCCCCATGCGTTCGACTTCTGGTCGAAATGTCCGGGTACCTGTAATAGCACGACCTTTGCACTGTGTTCTTGAGAAAGATACTTTGCCCTCACAATGTATTTCGCCATATATTCGTCAACAAAGGTGCTGACAACTGTTATGATAATCTGACTAGATGTTAAAGGTCTTGTATCGGCTCTCAAATTAATTCTTATGGACAATGTATTTCAAAGTCAATGATCACTTGCTCCTGAAAGATGATATGCGATATGGTAAGATACCAGAACCCAATTTGAAAAAGTTGCTGAACCTATATACATTCACATACAGTTGATTAACATCTAAGGCAATTCGAGGCGGTCACGCAGTTTTTTTGAAATATAAGAATTTATTTAGATCAATTCCACCATTAAACTATCAATAAAAAAGTCTTGAGAGCTAAAATTCAGTGGAAAAAATAATTTTTCGTGGTTATTGTCAACAATCCAAATGTTTGTCCTCTATACAATCGAGCTTACAGAAAAACGCTGATGAATAATTGATCAGAATAGATATGACCCTCATCAGACCTTAGTAACTTGACACAAAAAAGTAAACAAATCGAATTATATTTGAAACGAAAGTTTTTTAGTTGTTCCGGCAAGAATTTTCCATTGGTTTCTTAAAAATGAATCATAATGTTAGCTTAGGCAATTGGTATTCAAAGTCTGAAAAGTACTGCATATCGTTGCATATCATTTTCTCAAGTGTTGGACTTCAACTCGGTCTTCATGCACTACAAAATAAGACTGTTCTTTTAAATGATCGTCTAGAAAACGAAGAAAGCCAGTCTCAAGAAATGCTTCAAAGGTGTTGCCAGAAAATTCAGACTATAACACGAGAAAAAACCCGTGGATTGTTTTGATTAGTCCAAAGAAAACACGGCTACACTTGAATTTTATTAATGTGCAAAACCACTAAATATTTTACTTTTTCGTCTACGTTCTCTTTAAATTTTAACGTCAACACTCGCATTTTCATCATCATTTTCCTCTTGTAAAGAGGTATACAGAATTAGAGTTGAAACTTCATTAGAAACGGCAATTAGATAGAAAGGAGCAACTTTTCCATATGTCAAAACAAATTTATTTCATTGCGAAAAAAATTAGATTAAAGAGACAAACAGTTCGATCAGTCGCGCGAGTATAAAAGAATAGTGTTAAAAAATAAATTATAGCGCGGGAGCCCTTAGAGTGAAGCGCTCGTGAAAACTTTGACTTTTTAAAATATTTTGATAAATTCTGTCAAAGGTTAGAGCTTTTCATAGATCGCAACATGAGGTAACCATGGACGTTTTTGAAGATTCTTTATCTGTGTCATTCTGCTTACAAAAAAAAACAATTGCGAAACAAAACAAAACGAAAATAGACTGCATGGGTTAAAAAGTTATCGATCAGTTGTAATTTACTTCGCCACTGAGCGTACGTGATCCGATCCACTCCTTTCTAACTTACAGATGGCTGTCGACGTCTCAAGTTTCTGGAGCCAATAGATGGATATGCATTGATAGGCCACGTCTTTAAAAACATTTCATTATCAGTCGGAATACATATGTATAGTCACTGCAGAAATTGGTGTACTATTGAAGACAGATGTACATCGATTAACATGGTACCAAGGGAAAAAGATGAAATGATATGCCAGCTGAGTGACTCGGACCAACTACAACACCCAAATGATCTGAAACCGACGGCAGGCTTAATGTATAGAGGCACGGAGGTAAGAATTATTTGCTCTTCTTCAGCCTTGATTACCCTTCAAGCGATTTTCTTAAACCCTCTGCGAGTCCTCACCGAACCAGATTGGGAGAATTCATAACAAAACTTTTCAAATTGGAGCCTGAGAGCATTGCAATCGAAAAAAAATTAAAAATAAAGATCGCTTTGGGTGCCCCGTAGGATTCATCGGCATAGATCGCTATCGATAACTGCAGGCGTGTAATGAATCACCTGATCATCATGCGCCGTTAGTTCAAATTTGCTCAGCAATTATAGATATTCTGAAATAATCAGCGTGAAAGCTTTAAGAACCTCTAGCTACATTCTTTTCCACCAGAATAAGTGCTACCTCAACAAGTGCTACAACAACGCAACTTGCCTGGTTGGATTTACGGACAAGGGATATAAGTGTATATGTCCACCTGGATACACAGGAGAACATTGCGAAGGTAACGCTAGACTGCGCGTGCGCTGTCATAATCGTGTTTACCTATACATGTATGCACCTCTATTGTTTCCGTTTTGGTCTCGTCTCGTATGTTTCTAAACGCCGTCTGATGACTTGTGAGTCATCTTACACACGTTGCGACCAAGTTGACGAGTTAAACTACGGTTGCAAGGAAAGGTTTAATGGCTACTGAAAAAACCTGTACAGTGAAATCTATCCATCTAAATTTTTCCACGCATCAAATTTAGCAGATTCATTATCCTATATAATTTTCTTGGTACTTGTCTAAACGTGACGAGTGTATTAGTGTACGAGTGTACCAAGAGCGTCAACGATTTTCACAGACTTCTCATGTGTATATTATTGCCGAGGGTGCACTGGCTGCAGATGTTAAAAGAGGAGGAAAGACCGCAGGAAAACGCGAAATTACATTGAATTTCTATTTACAAGCAACACAGGTAGCTCAAGCGAACCTTGCGCAATTTTGGGGTTAAAAGGTCACTAACAGGAATATCTAATTTATACGCTGGATATGAATAGGAGCCTCGTTTTCTGTTGGTATTTAATCATTCTTCGATTCACTGAGTCGATATTCCTTAAGTACTGAACGATTGTGGGATAAGTTTAGATTGAATTTAAGTCGTTCGCGTCTGGCCTAAACAAAATTAACTAAAATAAGATAAATGATAATGTTAATGAACGCGCCATAACCGCCTTATCTCTTCAGGTTAATTTCAACATTATTTTGTCAACTATGTTCGTACAAGGAATTGTGCATTATAAAAATAGGGAAGGAAGGTTACCTGAACCAATCCCGGGCACCAACCGTGGTCAATCCAAGACCAATAAATTCCACATAAGTCGTCTAATCTCTTTCAAATTGAACGAGTGCAAGAAATATCCGTAGAGGTGCTTTTCTGGTGACAGTAGTAATACCTTAAATGCTGTATTACAGATGTCGACGAATGCCAAAATGATATCCATGAGTGCATCAAGGATGTGGCAACATGTGTAAATCAACTTGGATCCTACTATTGCATTTGTAACCATGGATACACGGGGGACGGAAAAACCAATTGCATACCTGAAGGTGAGTTATTTTTATCTCGTACGAGAAAGATATGAGGAAGATAATTATCGGAAAGGTTTACTCATAGAATCAATATTTCTTCCAATGGCTACATCTCCCCTTTTCGCCTCTTGTTTTTATTTAGTTCTTTCACATGCTAAAGTAAAAAGTAACCAAATTTGAGCTAACTAAATTAAAGTACTAGAGCATGTGCAGTTTTGGATTGAGAGTCGTAAAGCCGAAACCAAATAAATCAAAATCACTGACGACAGCCAACCACGAGAAAAGAAAATACATATAAGAGCCAATGAGAACTCAAAGTAAAAACAACCAAATTGGTTGAAGAGCGGACGTCTTAACGGTCGGTTTTAGTTTTTTTTCTGATTGGTTGAGAGAGTGTTGCGAGTTGTCTAAACCAATCACGGAGCAAGGTAAAGCAAAACAACGTAATCCGGGTTTCTCTGGACACTCCATTGAAAGATAGTCTAAAAGATAAAGGTAGCATTTGTAGAAATCAATTTGCCATTAATGATTACTTAGAATGTCGAAGATACACAAAATTGACGGACAAGACCAGGAAAAACACGTACGTCACCAAAAACAAAAAATGCGACAAACACCTTGGTCCTGGCTGGTTTCGTTTCCAAGGAGATGCGGGAACCAAGATGCCGACTAAATGTCAACCCTTGTCGAGATGTGATGCGTATAAAACAGGTTGGCTGCGCGGCACTCATCCATCAGTGGCTGAAGGCGCAGTAAACAGAACAGTTTGCTTCCGATATCATAGTTGTTGTACTTACTCAGTTATTATTCGAGTAAGGAACTGTGGGTCGTACTATGTTTACCATCTGATTAATACCCCATCCTGTACTTTACGCTACTGTGGAACGGGTTGAAAAAGATCAGAGCTGAGGTATGATTACCATATATCCTTCAAAATTTGATTTCCCCTCACTTCTCAGGCCTTCGGCAGTTCCAGAGAACATTTTCAAAAATCGCAAAAAAACGGAGGGGGTGGGGGTGGAAAGACCTCTTTGACCTCTCTCTTTCCCAACCTATGCAGGGAGATGAGGAAGCTTCATTCACTTTCTGCTTCTGATTCGATGTTTCACAACCATCCGTTTTCTTTATTGATATTTTATATCTTTTTTGCTTTTCGAAGTCCTCCTTGATTTATATTCAGTGTTTAACCGGTATTTGACTGATATAACTGAGTGGTCACTTGCCACTATTGATTGCTCTTTGCCCTATTTATTGGCATTCTTCTAGGAGACAGCCTTGAGTCTACGTCATAATCTAAGATATAATTTTCTCAGTGGTTGCCGTGAAACTACATTGAAAACCACTTCATCCTGGCCAAATAAAAGAAGTCAATCATGACTGTTAACGTTTCACAATGGTCTTTAGCTTACGCGTGATAAGGAAACAAAACTATCCTTGCAGAAAAACCTAATAAATGCGCTCAGTGTGTTAAAGAACTATCTTTTCTTTGAAGATACTGCATTTTACTGTTTTTATCAGCGAATTATGCCCAGCAGAACCGAATATATATAAATTAGTATCTCTTTTGTTTTACAAAATGAATTTTGAAACTATCGAGAAATCCCAGAGAGAATCTGTGAAAGGCTGGAGTTGGAGAGGTCTTACTTTGTTAGGAAGAATACAAGTAATCAAGTCATTCAAAAATTTTGTATCGAGCATCTCTTATTTCAACCAAGAAAGACTTCATTAAAAAAATCAATAATCTACTATATTCATTCGTTTGGAAGGGCAAGGACAAAGTTAAGCGAAATGCACTGATAAACTCCCTCGAAAAAGGGGGGTTAAAAATGCCCGACATCGAGTCCATGATTAAAACTCAAAGAGTACTCTGTATTAAGAAATTTCTAGAAACCAGCTCAGCTGGGTGGAAATTTTTTTTGGAGTCTTACCTCAAAAAGGTAGGAGGTAAATTTTTGTTCCAATGTAACTTTGATTTTACAAAGTTACCAATAGCTCTTCCAGACTTCTACAAAGAATGCATTTCAACTTGGTCTTCTTTGAACGAGGACAACCCTTCCTCGCTTTCAGATATAGTAAATCAGGTCTTATGGAACAACAGGTTTATATGCATTGATTCCAGATCAGTTTATAGTAAAAAGCTTTTTGACGCAGGATTAATAAAAATTGGCAACCTCTATGATGAAAATGGCGAGCTTAAATTGGATAAGGAGCCATGGCGTTCATCTCTCTCACCGGTCGATCGCTTCCTAATTTTCCGTCTCCTCAATGCTTTCCCACAAGAGTGGCGTAGAGAATTGAAACTAAATAGGACTTCTATCTACGGAAACACACAATACCAAAATCTAAGTAATTTCTCCCTGTGGGTTGATGGTGAACAGAAGACTTTACAGAAGCTTTATTCAAAATCATTGTACCAGATTTTCGTCTCTAAGATATCTAGTATACCAACTGCAATGAAGAAATACGACAAAGCATTTAATACAGACACTTTTCATCTTGATTGGGAGAATATTTATTCACTGCCTTTTAAAACAACTTTGCATACCAAACTAAGGGAGTTTCAATATAAAATACTAAATAGAATCTTATACACAAATGTTATGTTGTTTAAATTTAAGAAAGTAGACTCCCCATTGTGTTATTTTTGCGAAAAGGAGTTAGAGACTTTAGAACATTTGTTATTTTATTGTCCAAGAGTGCATGCTCTCTGGGATGAAGTCACTGTCATGTTAAGCTCACAGGGCATTACTTTGAAGTCTCCTGATATTAAAGATATTGTTTTTGGTTTTTTTGAGGCGCCTAATCATGAAAATGACGGAATCCTTCTTAATTATATTGTACTAGAAGGTAAATATTTTATTTATCGCACAAAGCTAAATAAGACTTCTCTATCCTTTAAATCCTTTTTCGAAAGAATTAAGAGTACGTTTCAAATAGAACGTTTTATAGCCAGAAAGAGTAATAAACTTGAGATCCATTACAACAAATGGAAACCCCTCCTTCAACTGATAGAACAATAGCTGAACTAATTTTTTATTTATATCAATACGCGATGCCTCTTTCTTTTCTTTTCTTTTATTCTCGTGGTCCAGTGTAGTGGTATTTTCTTTGTGTAATAGAGTAGTGTAATGTAAATTTATGCATGTAGAAATTTGGGATGTATCTTGCGTACTTGTAAACAAATAAAATACAAAAAAAATCTCACAATCATGTCACAATGGCCTTTCGCAGACATGCAATCAAAGACAAAATGAGTATGAGTTTGAAAATGAGGATAACGTTCAGGATTAGGATGTGAATAAAGGTGAGGATAATGATGGAGGAGGGGATGAAGACAAGGTTGAGAAGGAGCATAAGGATGGAGATAAGGATGGGGATGATTTTCGGGAATGACGATGAGGTGAGAATGTGGATGGGGGTGAGGATAAAATGAGGATAAAGATGAGGATGAGGACAAGTATGGAGGAGGATGACAGTGAGGGTAAGGATGGTGATGAGGATGACCATAAGTATAAAGATAAGATGGGGATGAGCCTGGTAATGAGGATAAGAATGAGGATAAGTTGGGAATGAAGATAAGATGAGAGTGAGGATTGGGATGATGATAAGGATGAGGACGAGGATATGAGTTAGGAGAGATGAGAGTAAAGAATGAGGACGAACGAGAATGAGGATAAAGGTGCGGAAAAGGACAAGGATGGAGGAGGATGAAGATGAGGGTAAGGATGAGGATAAGATAAGAATGTACCTGTGGATGTGGACTAACGTGGGGATGAGAGTAAGAATGAAGATGAAGACGAGGATGAGGGCAAGGATGGAGGAGGATAAGAAAAAGGGCAGGGATGAGGATGAGGATGACGATAAGTATGGGGACGAGCCTGGGAATGAGGATAAAAATGAGGATAAGAAGGGGATGAAGATGAGATGACAGTGAGGATTGGAATGATGATAAGAACGAGGACGAGGATATGAGTAAGGACGAGATGAGAATGTAGATGTGGATGAGGTTGGAGATAGGAATAAGGGTAAAGATAAGGATGAGGGTAAGGATGAATATGACGAGGATGAGGTGAGGTGAGCATGGTAATGAGGATAAAAATGAGAATGAAGGCAAGGGTGAGCGTAGGCATGTAGGAGGATGTGGATGATGATAAGTATGAGGATGAGATGGAGATGCGGACAAGAAAGAGATGAGGTTGAGGATTGGTAAGGGGATGAGAATGAGGACGAGATAAGAATATGGATGTGGACGAGGATAGGAATAAGGATGAAGATCAGGATGAAGGCAAGGATGGATGAAGATGAGAGTAAGGGTAACGATGCGAACGAGATGAGGATAGTGACAAGCATCAGGATGAGATGACGATGAGGATGAGCAATGGGATGAAGATAGGGATGAGGAGGGGGACGAGGATAACAATGAGAGCGAAGGTGAGGATGAGGACAAGGTTGGAACAGAATGAGATGAGGGTAAGAATGATGATGAGATGAGGATGAGGACTAAAAAGACGATGGGGATGAGGTTAGAGATGAGCATACGAAAGGATGAGCTTAGGAATACGGAATGTAAGATGGAAAAATTCCAGGACAACAAAACTGATTTAATCGGAGTGATAAAGTTTGCATGACTGAGGCAGGGCTCGAAATTGCGACCGATACAGTCGCCAATGCGACTAAAACTTTTTAACTTGGCGACTAAAATTTTGCGTTTAGTCGCCATTTTGGCGAATATGTTCCTCTGATTAAACATTAAAGGTGAGAAACGGTTTCCCTAGTCTCGTTTCTGCTTTTCTGCAAAAGGATATGCAAATTTAGTCTGTTTACCTTTAAGTTAAAACTTGAAATCGCCTTAAGATCGCAACTTCCGAGACGACAATATAGCAGCTTCTACATGGTGATCGCGGACGCAATGTTTTGTTGAAAGGTCGCTGAATTTAAAAGCGTTCTGTAGCAGATTCTGTCACAAGGAGTCGGCTTTCAAAGCAGGTGCTTTCTTTCACCATGTGCTAGATCAAGTGCAACGAATCTACACCGAAAGGCATGAATCATTTATCACAAGAGGATACACTGAGCGATTTTCGTAATTTGCTGCAGTCTACAAATAACCAGGAAGCAAGATCGTTGTTAGTATGCAAACAAGGAACGTTTCAAAGCCTTTCAAAAACGTTTGTTCGGAGCGTGAATCTCATGCAGTAGCTACCGGAGGATGAAATTTTTGCAAAGTGTTTAGTCCCAGAAGCCGAACAACTATGCCAATCAAATGGGGCTCTGATCTGAGTTTCTGTTCTTGTACTATCTGGCGACTTCATTTTTGTATTTGGCGACCATTTTTTTCTTTGATAGTCGCCAATAGGCGGCTTGGTTTTTTTTTAATTCGAGCCCTTAAAGGGCATAACATATACCCCCAGTATACATATGCCCTTAAACAATTTTCTTCTTCAGGCTGAGGCAAAACCTGGTTGAATGAAATTTTACGTGATTTGCGCGAAAGATACTGTGCTAAGTTTTAAATTGCTATTGTAAAAAAAAAAAAAAAAGAAAAAAGCTGAAAAGTTTTACCCAATACCAACAATTAAACAATGTGTTTTGTCTTATTAATGCTGCTAACGTTGCATGCTGGATTCTTCATTTTTATCGGTAAAAATTATTATCAGTTCGTTGACAAAATTACACCAAAAGTAATGAGCAAATAGATAAGATGCTTTTGAGATGCCTTTATTTCATGGAAATGTTTTGCATTCCAGATTTTATTACGACCAGTTTTACAGTCTAGTAAAATTCACCAATTAGCTGGGGATAAATAACACAGTGCAGTGAACAGCTGTTTTAAAAAAGTTTGTCAGAAAAAGGACGCGACAATCTCGAAGAGTAATCTAAGTATCTGGCAATATATTAATTTTTAGAAGTCAGATAAATAAATTAATTAATTAACCAAACCTGCAATGCCTCGTCCTTACTGCGATGTTTTCTCAGATTTCCCTGAAATCCTGAGTTTAACCCTTTAACTCCCAGGATCTTATTGTTATTTCTCCCCTCTAGCTGTTAAACATTTCCTTGTAACTTAGTAATAAGAATTTTTTGTTCGATCAAGATAACAACTTCTACCTGATAAGTTTGAAAATTCTCATCATCTGTTTGCTGAATAATGAAAAACATTAGAAGGAGAAGTTTCATGTTGACCACTTTTGAGAGTTAAAGGGTTACGGAACCGTGGCCTGAAAAGCACCCACAATGCCTTTAGGGCTTGTTATGTGCATTTGTATGCTATTTTCCTGAGCACCTTTATCAAAACAGCCGCATATATGGTTTTCAATCTATCTTATCTACTTTCCAGTTTTTCACTCTACGTCTAATAACTCAAAGATGACCATTCAAAATACATGTGTCACTTTTGCCACGTGTGGTGCATTTAAACAATAGTGAGCATCATCATCCGTGCTTGTCCGTTGATCTCCACAAAGAGCTACAAAAAAAAGAATTTCTTGTTTGAGAGCAAGTCTCTATCTCACCATTATGACCACTTTTATAAACATTGCCACCCCACAGCCCTGTAAAGAGTGCGCTGGTGTGATGTTTCACTAATTCTCTCTAAGCACTGCACGCACACAAGAACATGAATAAACTTTGTGGAGAAGACTATCTAGCAAGATGTCTCAAAAATGGCTTTTCACACTTTGAGAGACAAATAAGTTAGTCATAGTATTAAAAGTACTAACAGGAGTGATTCTACACCAGACACCCAACAACAAAAAAGGAAAATAGACAACTCAGCAAAGACAATTCACGGAGTAGTTAACAAGTTATGTCAAAGGATTTAATTGGACTCACCTATTGGAACCTGCAATTAGTTAAGGAAGTGGTACCTTCTCTTCTGGCACTGGTCCATCAGTGGTGACCCTGACAAACTCAGGAGGTCCTTGGGGATTTCCTGTTGGTGGAACCTGGACCATTGGAGCTGGACCTCCCTGAGCTCCAGATGTTGGTACCTGGACCATTTGGGGCTGCATGCTCACAGCCCCAGCTCCAGATGTTGGCACCTGGATCATTTGAGGCTGCATGCTCACAGCCCCAGATATAGGAGCTTGGTACATTTGTGGCTGAGTGACTACTTGCATTACACCACCTCCTGGCATTTGAACTGTTTGAGGATGGCCTCCTACACCCCCTGAAGAGGATACTGGAACCATTACGACACCACCTGCTGTTTGCACAGGAATTCCCATGGGAGCACCCCCAGCACCATACACCATGCCTTGGTTGCTCACATAAACCATTGAGGGTGCCTACAAGTGTAAGTTTACATATCATCAGATGTAGTAGACACTTGATAATGCAAAAACCTTGACAGCTTTATGAATACACAAATTGTCCATGATAACCACAGTTACACACTTTCCTTACAGAAAAGAATTATCAGAAACAAAGGCTTTCAATGAAAAATGGAAAGAAAAGTACTGATTATGTGATTATAATTGTGAACCTTCCAAAAAAAGCTGTTTGATCTCATTGTTCAAGGATCACAAGACAATTACATTGTGAGGAGAGACAGATCAGCAGACAGACAGAGATAAACAAGGAAACATAGAAACAAGGAAACAGGCAGTGCCTACACAGTCAATGAACCATGCTGACATGATAATGATGATAATGATGATAATGATGACTATGGCAATGATGATGACATGACCATAACCATGACTGCAACCATGACAACAACAATGAAGATGATGAGGATGACTATGATGTTGATGAAGATAAATAATGATCTTATTCTATTGTCGAAATGGTAGTAATTACTATTACTAATAGTTATGGCAGTGCTAATAATAATTATGATTGATCAGAACAAACTAGAGCAAGATCAGTAGATAGCCTGTTAGGCAGGGTCTTCCTGCACTAGTGAACAAAACTAGAATTGTTCCCACAAGATCAAAGGACAAAGTTTGTCATGAAAAGTTTTTGTCTCATCTCTTGCATCCCCATTAACAATTTCAAAGCTGTCAAATTCCATCAGCGTCAATCTGTTCATAAGACCGACCAGCATAGTTGCCAAAGGATTCCACCTCTGCTTTCCAGGATTTATCCCAAGTCGTTTTAAAATTTTAGAATATCCAAGTTTTGCAGCAAAAGACAATTTTTGCCTTTCTAGTAAACTGATTTTGGTTCAATTACATGTTTGTTGTAGCTTATACGACAAATGATCGACAAGTTTATCATGGTTTTGTTTATTCAGTTGATTTTGCCAATTATTTTACCCGAGACAAATTTTGTCAGCAGTGCATTTGAAGATTTGTCTGCTTTGGTCAAAATTTGTCAAGTCACGACAAACCATCCGCACTTGTAAAATGTTGGCCATGATAGAAAATTTGTCGAAATAAACAACTTTGTTGCCAGTGTGGAAAGGCCCTAACACAGACTCAAAGGAGCAGACAAAGCAAAATTTACCCAGTAGATATACAGTACCTGGCCTCCTTGAACAGCACAGCACTGGCAAGCATTCATATTACAGCACAGAACTGCAGCCCAGATTCCAATGCCAAACTCAACAATACCAAGAATCAATGTGATTACTGTAACAGCCATTTCTGCATCATAGTTGTACCAGTAGCGCTGATAAAAATCATCTTCATACCAAGGAGAAGTACGATACATTGCAATAGAAATACTGAAACAGATGATTATTATTCCTCCAAACACAGCAGAGGTGATGGCACAACCCATAAAAGCAGCAGCCTGAAGAAATCAAGACACAAAAGAAATCAAGTAATAATCCTCTAATCAATACTTTTTTTCAAATTCTCATCATTTGCCTGCTTGATATTGTACTGATAGTGAAAGGAAAATTTTTATTTTAGTCACTAATGGAAGTTAGAGGGTTAAGTCCCAGCAGTGACATAATTGGTAACTTCTCTAGACCCATAGTATCCCTAAGCAAACATTATCCAGCAGAAGTAATGATTTACTCAAACTTATCATGTAGAAGTTGTTATCTTGATCAAACACCAGATTCTCCAAACTAATTTACAAAAAAATGTGTAGCTGCTAGGGGGGAAGGACTATAAAACAGAGCATAAGCCTCAAAGGGTTAAAGACCAAGACCACAACATTTCAATGATTAGATCTAGAAAAATTTCAAACTCTCAATGTCATTTTCAAATTCATTAAAGACCCAGTTTTTACCAGGATGCATTGCACACGACATTCACCATTGGTGACCATTAACTTGATGGTGAGTATTTCACGAGCTTTGGGAAAACGATACATGCTTCCTTCTTATGGAAACCTTTACAAAAAAAGAGCCACCCAATGCATAATGGCTAATACTGGGTCATAAAGAAGAAATGGTTGTTACAGTCAAAGTACTATTCCTGAGTAATAAGGATACATGTACCACAAAGTGTTAACCCTTTAACTCCCAGACCAAATTTGTAATTCTCCTTACTGTCAACCATACAATTCTTATGATGTAAGTTCAGAGAATTTAGTATTGGATCAACTAATTATCCCCAAATTGATATTATTCTTTATTCTCATAACTTATCTGGTTGATATTGTATTGATATTGTAAGGAGAAATTCTGTCTTGGTCACTCATGGGAGTTAAAGGGTTAATATTTGGTTCACATGCTCTTTGAGGGGACTACCACACTTTTATTACAAATGAATTGATGCTTGCAGTTCTTTTTAAAGAAGATATGACATACCCAAGACCATAAAATTTACTCAGATGGGCAGCTCTGCAACACAACCACAGAGGATTTAGACATGTTTCAGTTTGTAAAGCTCACTGATATTTGAGACAAATTGCATTGTGTCAAAATTCATAACTGCACCCCCCCTTCTCCCCCTTTGTGTCATTTAATGGCATCTACATAACGTAAAACTGTGGATCCCCAAAACCTTCAATACAAGCACAAAAACAGGGTAATCATGGTAAGTTTGAAAGATTACAACTTACAAAAGCTTGGCTTGATGAGTTCCTTTCTCTGTTACTACCTGGAATCCCAAGAGATCCTGTGACAATCATCTGGAGGCAAGAAACAAGAAGACCAAAGAGTAGTTTGTTAGTTTTACAGTTGTCTTGACTGTGAATATAAGAATATTATATATGTGAACTGCAGATTAATAAATGAATATGAAAGTGATCTTTGAAGTAATAAACACCAATTAACCCTAAAACTCCCAGATCAAATTTGTAATTCTCCTTACTGTCAACCATACAATTCTTATAATGTTAGTTCAGAGAATTTAGTATTGGATCAACTAATTATCCTCCACTTGACATTTTCTTTTATTCTCATCACTTATCTGGTTGATATTGTATTGATATTGTAAGGAGAAATTCTGTCTTGGTCACTCTGGGAGTTTAAAGGTTAAGCCGTTATAATGATATTTGGAGGAGTTGAACCCATGACCTCTGTGATACTGGTGTTGTATACTGTAATTAAAATATTGAAATTTTTAATCCCTTCCAGAATGCTTTACTAGCAACATGCCATATGACATATTGTACTGGAATCTGCATAATTTAGTTTGAATAGTTTTGTGTCATTTGTTTTCATCGCTCACTTATTCATTTTGTGTAGCACTTGCATATTTGTTGTATAGTAAAAAAAAAATGGTTATAAAAGACCTCATAGGTTTTCATGGTTGACATTGACTCTATACTATGACAACAGGTGCAGTGCTCTACCAACTGAACTAACAAGTCAACTGGGAGCTGGTCATATTCAGTTACTGTAAATGTTGTCAAAATATTTTGTCCAAGCCTGCACTTGCAATAAAAATCTCAATCAAGCTAACAACGACCTCAATTTGAATGAAAAGAACTTCAACTTACTCCATTACAACAACTGAGGCAGGCTCTAAGAAGAGTGTGATTGATAAGAATCACATCCAATGTTACTCTTAAACAAGAAATGTTCAAATAATTTCTGGAAACCTGGAACAAACTCCATCGTCTATTATGATTGAAATTTATATTTGCGTTATGATTCATAGTTTTATTTCTCATTTTCCTCTTCATAAATTGAGAATGTTTCCTTACACAGGAATAAATAATTATTTTTCTCTGCATGTAAACTTCTTTCCTTTCTTGTAACGATGCATTGTTAGTCACATAATTTTCTCACTTACTTGCGGTAATCGACGGTAATTACTAATTATTCTGTGGTTAAGGCCTTTTGCATTTAAAAAAATTATTTTAGTATACTTTTCGTTTAGCATAACTGTATCCCTGCTAGTTTTCGCTTAAATGTAGACTGGTTGTAGCTAACTGCGAGCAGCGTCTATCTCTTGAATTTCACACTTGTAATAAACTTGTGAGAAGTTTGTAATAACCTGATTCAATGTACTGCTCTACGAGCTAGAGCTATGGACATTCTGAATTAATCTTATTTGAAGATACATTCTACTCTGGATAGATTTACATTATGTAATTCCAGGCGTAGAATGGGGACGCGCTCTACATTACTGCAACCCTTTTTAAACTTTCTTCAAAAAAGTTGTTAAAATGTTTTTCACGCAAACTTGCATTTAGTAATGTAATAATGTAATAAACTTCGTTTCTAAGGACCGATAAAATTATTTTTCAAATTCATGTTTCTTTTGGCGAAGGAGGTGTAAAACTAACTTCGATTTGTTCTTTGCACGACACTTCGATAATCCCCGAAGCAATTCAATTTAAGCAGCCAAATTCACCCGATCAGAATCTTTATAATCCATCGAATTTGAAACGGGCGAGAACTTAAGAGTGGGTAGTTGACCCAATTTTATGCTTCAAATCACTGCCTTTCGCCACCCTATTCTGCACAAACTGCGAAACCTCGACGAATCGCTGCGTATAGTATTGCATTTACCCTGTACGTACCCAAACGCCGCACCATATTCCAAAACATCCTTCGCCGGTCCAAAAATATCCCTCGACGCGGTCCACAATTCCGAATACAATAAGCAATATTCCAACCACAATGTGGCCTATGGCAATGAGCCTTGCACTTTTCAAGTCCTTTACATCCACCATGGCGATAATCTAAATGTTGACAATGGCGACGGATGCAAAACACATCTCCATAAACTTATATCCAATAATATATTCAGGATGGTTGAACACCATTTTGAATAATTTAAAGTTGCTCGTCCAAAATCTGGGTCGAGAATCTTGAAGTGTATTGTCATGTAAATGTGCAAAGCTGTCAAAGGGGCAAGGAAGGCGAACACGCAGCCCCCCTGTGCATTTCTTTAAATGAAGGAAATCAAAGGAACGCTTCCAGGAAGAACCGAGTCTCTTTCTTATCGATGTCACCCGAGGGGTCAGGGGAGGGGAACTAAAAAAAAAAATAAAAAAAATAAATAAAAATACTCACGAGGACGAGGCAATGCAATCCGAGTGGGTTCGAGAACTGGTGCCAGGATTAAGTGACGTGTTCTTGAGCAAGAAAGTTTGCTCTCATAAAATGGTTTTGATGAAGTAACATCCTAGGCGGCCGGAGTACGAACACTTGACGTCGCTTCAATTCACTATAACTGGAAGTCAGTCCACGTTGCGCGTATGATTCTGCCGTCAATTTTTTGACTCACCAGCCGTAAAGTTTAGATATTTTAGTTTCCAGCAGGAAAGGATGACAACCCCCACCCAGCAAGTTATTCTCCCTCCTCCCCTCCTTCCCCCGCAGAAGGTTTATGGTAGATATCCGCTGAACGCAAAGAGTGCAGAACCAGACGGAAATGACCTACTTTTATTAAAGAACTTCTGCGGTGAAGAGTAGTAAGTCAGATTCTTTTCTTTGCAGAACGACTTTGAAGAAACCAGTCAACATTTCTCGCCAGTTTAAGAACAAGGGCCTAAAGTAACTCCACACAACTTCACCTGTAACCGACTATATTAATAAAATAATAATAAAAATTAATAGACTAATACAACTTTTTGGACAAGTTACCGGTATGGCATAAATTAGTTGATCTTCTACCAGATACACAATTATTATTATTATATAGATACTGATGAAATACCAGGATTTTTCCTTTTACTAAAAAATCATATCTTCATTGCGCGCAGTGAAGAAACCACTCTCATCTTTCACGTGTGAGGATATTGGTGTCGCCATGGTTGTGATTAGCCAATTACAAGAGAGCTTCCCGCTCAGGCGCGCGGCTAGTTCCTTTGAAATTATGTAGGAATTTCATCAGTATCTAAAACATAAACAGAACATGACGTGGCCGCTTGGGGATACGAATTTCATCTTCTCGTGCTGAAAGTATTTCTCACTCGAAGATAAAATTCGTATCCCCGCGCGGCTATATAATGTTCTCTATTTAACACAACCAAAAATTGTGGATAATTCCTTTAGTGTGGTTTCACACCTTTCAATATTTCATCGATTTTATTTAACTTCTAGATAATCTTCTTGTCGTCAGTCTCTTAAATATTCCTTCACATTTTATACCAAAATCACTTCACAAATCATCGCACAACCATTCATGAAATCATCATTTGCGATATTTTGGACAAACGTGACAACTCAGACAACACACATTGTTCCTCCTGGCTTATTCAAAGACCGCTGTACTAAAACACTTCATTTTAGCATCTTGACTCGAAATAAACCTTACTCGGAATTTTCTAATCTCCGTCTCCAATCAATCTCGTTTTCACTACATCTGAGACACAAATCCACGTGACCAGAACTAAAGACAACACGTGCACATCACGTGCGCTTCATGGAAGAGGGGATAAATCGTCTTCCCGGTGGTAGTCAAAATGCTGCTGATATTTGGCCAATATTTTCTGTAAGGAACGCATTTCTAACCACCATTGCTCTTTGGGGACGCGGTGTCTGAAGAAAAATGGAGACAATACATTGTTAAGTTTGAAATTCATAGACTTCGATGCCGAGATCTTTCTCCAAAACTAATTTGTACCCATTTTCAGCAGAACGCTTCTGACTTGTACTCCCATGTGGTACGGTTTACTGCGCTACATCAAATAGTATTTTCATAGTAAATTTTCACCACAAGGATCAAACATCCCAGTGCGCAAACTCACAGCATGACATAGCCCCTTTAATTTAAAGTGACTGGAATGAGATGAATTCTAATACACTCACTTAAAGTCTGTGACACTTTTCAGATCTTGAACTGGCGTGAAAGGGTTATCAGACTTCTTGATACCCAATAGACAAGCAGTGCTTGGAGATGAAGTTTCAACAGATCCTACAAAAGAATTATCAGAAGTCATTCGCCACTGTGCATTTACTCTTCCTGGATCGTCTTCTTCTTTAGATATTGTTCAATGTGTCATTTTCCCTCGGAAAACATAACTTGGTAAATTTAGTCGAGAAAGATAAAGATTGACGACGAAGATGAGGGGGGTGGTGTGGGGACGAAGGGTATGAAAAATGCTACTCACTATTCAAGCAACAGACAACTTGTTCACGCAGATTACTGTGTAAGGAAGCAAACTGTGCAGTATGATAGTCAGAGTGAGAAGAGTTTTAAATAGGCCTGTTGTCTTTAACGGAAGTCATCATCGGAGGAAAGTGAAAAGCCTTGTTCTTTTATTATTTCAGTGGAATGCTTTAAGTCTGTGCGATGAATTGATTGCCCGTGATCTTATCGGATGTAACACTTAAATAGCGTTCCTCAGTCACAAATAGTCAGTTTCGGTCCGTTGTTAAGTCAGGTTCTGCTCAGTTTCCTCGTCAACGTCGTCAATCAATGATTTGTAAAATACCAGCGGTTTCCGCCGATCGTTGTTAACCGACAAAGTCCTCTTGAGGACTATTGCCACACAAACGATTACACCATAACATCAACTGCTATTTTAAAGTTCAAACTAAAGTAACCTTTAGACAGTTGGTATAGTGGAAGGTCGGTTAATCTAGTAACTACGTAGGCTCTCGCCGTCTAAGTCTTTGAAATATTTGCACGACAGCCTACAATCGCGGGAAAAAACTATTAAGCCATCCAAACAAAATGTACCGCTTTTTTCAAACTCGACTAATATATTCTATTCTTTTTGAACTCTTTCCTTTCCCTCTTTAAAAACCGTTACCTTGATCTGTTAAATTCTCCCCAATCCTTTGAGTCAGCCAGTTAACGGCCAAAGTCGCCTGTCTGGTGGCCTGGATTCGATCAAAAGGCGACGGAGATCCACCCTGACAAACATGGAAAATACAAAAACAAAAAGCTGTTGTGAAACACGACCCACTAAATCTTAAACCCGTAAGAAATTGCGTATTTAGGATAAAATTGGCTCGCTGTTCCAATATATTGTGATCTGAGCGGTAATGTGAGAACAATTTTGTCGCTTTTTGTGGCTGACAAATGTCCTCTTCATCTGTTCTTTGGGATTTTACGAAAACCAATCTCGTTATATGGGCATTTTCTCTAAGACTTACAACGAAACGAAAACTTTGCGGTGGAACATTTGGGTGAGCTGTCTGTAAACAAAATTGTCCAGAAATGGAACGCAATCGTACAACGCCTAATTTGTAGCTTCACGTGACTAAGCACGGGTAAATCTCGTGAACAAGCATCAGATTCACCTGCTGCACGTGACCAAGTACATTGGTTCTGACAGTGAAAAGGCCCTCTCCTTCTTCTCGATATAGAGCCGAGATGAAGTCCGTCGTGTAATTTTCGCTGCATTTCTCGTTCCTGCGTAAAGGTAGAAACAGATTTGAGCATTCCTGTCGAAATTTACAACGAACAGTCTGGTTTCGAGTAGTTTCCTGGCACTCTAAAACTGCTCTACATCAATAGTGCGCTGTACTCCGGGGTTGGGGGTCTGAGTTCGAGACCTGGCGTTTGTCACAGAGCCTCTCTCCACCCAGGAGAATAAATGGGTACCAGCGAATTATCAGGCAACCCTGATGAAATGTTGGGGGGGTAACCTTGCGATGGCATCCCATCCAGGGGCGGGTAGTGATACTCGTAATTATTCAATGCCATAAAAACTGGGATAAGCTAGGCTGCATGGACCTTTTTTGCTCCAGTACAGACTTGTTAACTTGTTAACTTGTTGACCTTCAGCGATAGGCGTTCTTACCGCAAAATGAGTCCTCTTCGCACAGAACCTTTCATTTTGTCTATCAAATGCTCGATGTTTTTCTGATGAAAAGGCAAAACATAACAAAGGTGAGGCTGCAATTATAAGAGTTTCTTAAATCTATAAATGCAACACAGTTTCTAACCCTTTGTACTCTAACATCAGTATGCATATTCTCCATACTGTTCTCTATACATTTTCTAAGGTGCTGACGAGGAGAATTTGTTTAATAATCATGAGCTTCTTAAGTCAGTGATCAATTCTCTTTTTCTTGTGAACTTAATGTGTGATTTAAGGGGTGAAATGGTGAGGAGAAATTAGATTCTTGTCACTCTTTGGGGTCAGAGGATTAATGGAATTTCTCACAGGATCATGTACATGCAGAAAACTTAAGCCCAGATTTTAATTTGTTCAATCATAGCGGAGCTCGCACAGCGTAGCCACATAATTATACAAAATAGTAGTTTCCCATCAAGCCGAAAAAATTTGGATGTACGACCGTACAACCGTGCAGGGTGCTACTTTTAAGATGCGTGGTTAAATGTACCGCGGGCACCCCGACGCCACGGTTTTGTTCAGTAGTCCAGTGGTCAGTGCACTGGGCTCCGAGTCGGACGACCCGGGTTCTAGTCCTGGCACACACATGCAGGAAAAAAATGCGAGCTCCACTAAATCTATTTATTAATTCATTCGTGTTTCTTCTTGGTTTATAATTCCCAGTATTCTCTTCTTCAGTCTTACCCATCTCGTACTTTGTCGTTTCTTTCAATTTAAAGGTAGTTTTATTCAGTACGAAATAAAAGTCTTTACAACATCGTGAATTTGCGAAACTAAAATGATAGGGGTTCTCGGTCGGGAGCGGTTATAAAGATCTTTCAGAAAGAAAAGAAAAAAATAAAACGTAAGTAATCCGTGAAGTTTATGTATATTTAGGCGTCCTCAGAAATTTGACACACTGGTACACACCTTCAAATCTTCAAGAGTAAGTTTCTCTTCAAAGATGTACGCTGCGTCAGCTCCTCCCGCGAGGGCGCTCATGGTTGCTAGGTAACCACAGTAGCCGCCCATGCACTCAACAACAAACA